CTCAAAATTGCAAAAAAGTGAGGCTACTCAGTAGATTAGTAGAATTTTCATCGATTTTCCACACGGCGAATGAGAACGACCCAAATTTGAGTTTAGTTTGCTCATAAATCACAGAAAGTGCAGGAACTCAGCAATGCGCAAATTTACCTAATGTTTTTCCATGGTTTTCCAGGATTGTCCAGGGAAAAAATCTCGAATATGAGAAAAGTAAAGATTGGATTCACTCAGTCTCTTGGTACTAATTCTAGACTCAATGAAATTTTCGACAATTTACCTCTTTTTGCAGCAGATTTTCTAGGTTTTCTACAGACAAATTTACTCATCGTTGAGTTCCTGCCTTTTCTGTGATTATGAGTAAACTTAACTCAAATTTGAGTTGTTCTTATTCGCCGTGCTGTCTACGACTGTACTAGCGAGTGTATTCATAGACTTATTAAAATTTTCTTCGAAAATGGTTGCCTAGTGAGTTCTTATACACTAATCCAGTCCTCCGCTGTTTGGACATTTGTGAACTACTGAACTGTTCGGTAAACGTTTAAAAAACAGTGAAAAATTCAAAAAATTGAAAATTTATTCCGAATTTGTACAGACATTGTTCAGTCAACACCTCATCCTGTCATGCATCCGAAAGCTTACCTAGTGGTAGGTCGATTGTATGACAAAAGGTCGAATAGAGGAGAATGTCGAATTATGTGAAGAGGGAAAAAAGATTGAATGACAAAACGATTGACATACCCGTTGGTCCCCAGTTCATGAGTTGATGGGTCGATAGGTAGGGTCCAGGTGTGGGAGCTGCCTTCCTGGCACGTCGGTAGCATTGGTGCTCAGCACGGAAAACAAGATCGACGGAAAAAACAAACCAAAGGAAAAAAAAAAAAAAAAAAAAAACGATTGACAAAACGTAGAATGACAAGGAGGTACAAAAGGTCGAATGATTGAAAACGGAACAAAAGGTTAAATGATGAGAAGGGGGACAAAAGGTTGATCGGGGAAAAACAACGAAAGTAAGAACTTTCGAGCACTTTAAATTGGAGTGCTCAGTAGCTTTCATCTGGCAAAGGACTGCTCATGTTTTAAAGAAGGCGTCATCTTCAAGGTTGAGAAATAACTTCCGACCTTTTAATATTTTTAATTTTTTTGATTCACTTAAAGTGATTTTACTTTTAGAAGTTTTGTTCATTTCAACCTTCTTCCTTTTAATTAAATTTGACTTTTTGTAAAAACGAGCTCTGGTCTATTTAGACCTATTGTCCGTTTAACCTTTCGTCCATTCGACCATTCATCAATTTGACCTATTGTCCATTTAACCCGTTTATCCATTCGACCTCTTGACCCTTTAAATTTTGCCAGCTGTTCTGCTCACAAAAGGGTATGGATTTTCGTCAGAAATGAGGTTGCCTATTTTGTTCAGAAAATATCGTGAAAAATACCAAGGTTGGTTGGGGTTGTCTCATCCACAAGAGTACGTGGAGAAATAAATTTATAACCTCGATTTTCTCACCTTGCTGTTTTTCCAGACGGGATTGATATGCTTTTATGAGCAGTGTTATCCTTTTGTCTGTAGACCTTTTGTCCTTTGATCTTTTGTCCAAAAACCTAGGGTTGTTGTTTATTAAAACTGAGGGAGCGAAAATTGATGGTTGAATCTCATTGTGCATTTGCTTATGGGCTTCTTCTGTACGAGCATTACAACGTTAATGAAAACCTACATTGTAGAGATAGCAGCTAAAATACATCATTCATGACTTTGTGTCAGCCTCTTGTTTATTCGATCATTTCATGAAAACTACTTGGGGGCTTCCTTAGCTCAGTCGGTAAAGACGCAGCTATAAAGCAAAACCATGCTGGAGGCGGCTGGGTCCGATTCTAGGTCTAGCAATTTTTCATGTTGAAAAATTTCTCGACTTCCCTGGGCATAGAGTATGATTGTACTTGCCACACAATAATGCAAAAAAGGTACAGGCTTAGAAAACTCTCAACTAACTGCTGTGGAAGTGCTCAAAGAACACTAAGTTGAGGGCCGACGTAAAGTCCCAGTAGGGCCGTTATAAAGCCAAAGAAGAAGAAGATGAAAACTACTCAAGGTTTCATGTTCTTTTCAAGTAGCCATCAGAGTCAATATTGGTGCAAGTAAATTAATTTCTTCGATCGGAAGAAAATTTAATGTAAATAAACTTGAACAACGAGCACTATAAAAGGCAGATAAGTTTACTGGCACTCACAGTTATTCTTTAACCGCAAGTACCACCGCAATTAGCGTTTTTCGATATTCATCAAAAGCCTTCCACAATGAAACCAATAACGTCACTGTGCATTGCCCTTGTTTGCTTCGCGGTGGCGCTTTCGGTTGGATCTGCAATGCCACAAGCCAGCGTTGCTACTCAGGACGTACAGGCAGCGAATCAGGATTCAGGTAATGATCCAAAGCACTTAAGCAATCCTACAACAAATTGACAACAAGTTGAAAATTTTCTCCCGTAGACTTCGAGCATGCGCCGCAGCTGAAGCAGATTCCGTTGGAATTTCAACGCAGGAAGCGCATCACATGCGACTTGCTGAGCGGTCTCGGATGGGGCAATAGCCTTTGCGCTAGCCACTGCATGGCCATCAGCTGGAGATACCGTGGAGGGTACTGTAACAGTCAGGGAGTCTGCGTTTGTAGATCCTAGAACGGAACTTGGAAACGATCGGTTTTTGTCTAACGGACCTCTTCAGCAATAAATGTGAACTTTTTTGATTTATTCAGAATACACCGAGTTTCTTTCCCTAATAAAAATAACCATAAAAGAGAGCTTAACGACGTTTTCGAGGTATCATCCAAACCATTTGTGGGATAGTTTACCCATCCGGGATACAGTTCGGTTATGGTATTTGTTAATCACCTTGTACCTCTTATGTGTGCTGCTCTAACTTTGCTTCTACAGGTTTTTTTTAAATCTTTCATAGTAATTCCCATACAAATTTCAAATCATTTGCGTGACCTCCAAACCTTCATCAATCTTTACCTTTTTTGCACTGGCTGATATTTTGGGGTTATGAATCGAACTGGAGGGTGGTCTATCAGAAATTCGTTTTTTTTAAATCAAGTAACATTGCAAGCTTTATAGAGGTTTCATAGCATTCTACAAGTCCAAATCATGGTCTACAGAACCCTCATAAAACCAAAATTGTCACTTTCGTAGTGTGCATGTGTGTTACACAATTTTGTGCGACGTGTTACTCAGCAAACACTGAACAACAGCCACAAAATGAAAAGTTTCATAACCCTATAGAGCGCTTATGATTTTTTTTTTTGAATCGGTCAACTGGTTCCGGAGATATGAACAGAACAAGATCCGAAAAACACGGATTTTGGGAACTAAGCCACGCTTCTCGACATCCACTTAACCGAATTGGACGCAACAACCGTCAATGTGATGTGAATCCGGAGATATAGCCAGAACAAGTTCCGGATAATAGGTATTTTAGGAACGAAGTCGTGTTTCTCGGCAACTATTAAACTCGGCAACTGCGTAGGACGGTTAGTGGACGGAACAAAAGTCAAGAGCATTGAGTTCTTTTAATTGATCGATCATCTATTATCTTAACTCTTTCCGTTTTTGAAATGTAGGCGTACCAAATTTGATTAAGAGAATCGATTAAAATCACTTGCACTCCTGCTTCCAAGTTTGGTTACAAGATTACAACTCTGGAGAGCATTTTGTGTGGTTGTTGGAGGCGTGTGGTTTTGAATATGGACAAACAGGCCCAGATAACTTCTGTTTCAACTCTTTACTGTAATAAGCTTGTTGGCCCTGAAAAGGGCCGTTTTGTTGCCAAAGTTGGTAATGATTTAACCTCCGAAACCGTACAGAGTGCGTCTCTGTCGGTTCACAGCGTAGCTGACATCCATGGCCGTTTACGCTTGGCGTGTTCAGTGTAGGTGACAGCATCACGGATCTCATTTTCCAAGAACACCTTGAGCACACCTCGTAAATCAGACCGGAGATACGTTTGACATTACGATACATTCATTTACATTCAATTTTATCACTATTTTCATGAAATAAACGTTCTTCCCAAACTCAGTCTTCATAATCGAGTACCACTTGGTTGCACATCATTCTGCTTTAACCTGAAAAGATATGGTGAGCAGGCAGCAGAAGCAGCAATAGCAGCAGTAGGAAGGTGGTGGCTGGTTAGGTACAGGCATGGAAAATCATTTGCATTCATTTCGTGCATTCATTTACATTCATTGTCCTTAAATTTTCTCATCAACAGCATTCAGCAAAATGATGTATAGAGCTTTTGTAGGTTTTGTTATTAAATACAACTTTTGCCCATAATTGAAGACAACAAATCAAGAAGACTGGCAACTTTGCCAAAATTCAAGCGACAGATACAGTAGCGCTGCGCTTGAGTGAAGGTGGAAGCAACGCATAGAAAAATGAGCAAATACACAAACCCTTCGTCTGAGGATGTAATCTTTGCTATCAAATTCGTTCGAAGCATTTACCTTTGAGCGACAGATGTCGCGATTGTACCTGTCTCACAGCGTTCGTATGAGAAAAACTACAAAAACTCCATACATCATTTTGTGGAATTCTGTTGATGAAAAAAGTTAGGGACAAATGAATGCACGAAATGAATGCAAATGATTTTCCATGCCTGTACCTAACCAGCCACCACCTTCGTACTGCTGCTATTGCTGCTTCTGCTGCCTGCTCACCATATCTTTTCAGGTTAAAGCAGAATGATGTGCAACCAAGTGGTACTTGATTATGAAGACTGAGTTTGGGAAGAACGTTTATTTCATGAAAACAGTGATAAAAGTATCACTTTTTATTTGTACATTGGACAATGCTTGACATTTCCACTTTTTCAGAGTCAATATTGATGCAAGTAATAGGAAGAAAATTTATAATAGTTTCTTGTTTAGAATCATCATTCAGAAGCATTGCATTGCATAGACATATTTATGATCGATTGGTGATAAAGTTATTGAAATCGGTCCAGGGGCGGCTGAGCTATTAATGTTCAAAGTCTTTCATAATTTTGTTACATGTTCCATTTTCGGTTTTCACAAAGTGTATCCCCATATAAAAATCATAGACGTAGTCCTACGTCAAAATACGGATTTAAGTGACTAAGTCGTGTTTATCGACAACCACTGATCGGAATTGGGCGCAACAAATGAAAGGTTTTATGGTCCCATAGAATGCTTTTGAATAGTTTTGGAACCGATCAACTGGTTCAGGAGATGTGACCTAAACATGTTCCGGTTTATATGGATTATGAGACTAAATTCGACCCGAAACGAATAAAACCCACAATGTGACAGATCAAATGACATGAAAATTAAAAAAAAAAAACAGTTCAATGATAGTCATTCAAAGAGCCCAGGATCACACTGGCTATATCCAGCCATGTTCAGGTACCAGAAGTGGCCAGTTTCAGATGAGAATTCACCTACCACTTTACATTATATTAACCCTTTGTTAAAATTTATATTAGTAAAAAGCGTCAGATCTCATCATATGTGGATTCGTTCAGGAGTGTATAGAATCATAGTAGGCATTGGTTGTCGGGATAAGTTCATTTGTTTATATCATGGCTTCACCGCAGCAAGGAAATCGCGTTTCGATCCTGCACGCTCGAAACGAAAATCCCAGTCTATCCGCTCCTGGCAGTTATCGACCAGTTATACCACGGTTGACCGGAAGAGTGCCCCAGAGGAATGTAAAATCAAAAAGAAGTTGAAATTCCCCAAAATGTTCCTCGTTTGGCACTACTCCGGAACTAAGACCAATTGAGGAATACTGGTCAATTGTGAAGCACATTCTGAAGAAAAAGGGTGGAACTGCAATTGACCTGAAGAATATCAAGCGGAAATGGAGTTTGGCAGCCAAACAAGTGGGAACAGGGCTTATGCAAAAGATGATGGGCCGTGTAAGAAGAAAAGTTCGAGCAATGGCCTATGGTTAGAAGGAAGACTGAAACAATGGCCTTACAATAAGCATAAGACCTACTAATGTATAGCTGTTACATTGCACTGTGAAAAATAAAACGCATTGTTAAACCCCAACAAGATTTTCATGTCCGGATTTTTTCGTGTTCAATCTTTAGAAAATGTTCGACTAATACAAAAGTTCTTTAAAACAGAGTTGAAGTCGAAAAAAGGACTGCTTGTTATAACTATTGATTGGAAAACAAAGCAAATCTTGTTTACTTTCCATTGATACACCATAATATTGCCATACTATGCACTTTATTATAAGTTTTAAGCGGAAAGAGTCATCACGGATCGAAAATTTGCGTTTCACATCACCTGGAATTGGTCACTCCTTTCTTAGAAATGATAAAGTGACTCAAAGTGTTACAATTTTAGTCATTATGTGTTGTGAACAGTAAGCATGCGACTTACCCTGTAGTTTTGTTTACTCGAAAGGGGTTGGGCACCAAAGGAAATCCAGATACCGAAACGACTGCCGCTTATCACCGGAACACTCTGCTGCGCGCTTTTCTAGCCCTATCTACAGTGTAGAGCAGCACTGACTGGTAAAGCAGTGTGCAGTGATGCAATGTTTGAACTGTTCACACTCGCGATATAAACCGGGGATCGATTATCCACCACACGTGCTTTTCATGGCGTATCTCTGGATCGACGTCCACTGTGGTTTTTAGGTTGGCACATTTTTTCAAGCCTTCTTCTTCGCATTTAGAACGAAATTGAACATGCACACTGCGTTGTATATACGTTCCTAGGGTGTTCCGCTTCTCCGCTGATAATACAAAGCAAATATTGATTCTAAGACTCGTTCTTCGCTCAACTTGACGTGATAAGATGTCTTGAGGGGCTTCTTGATCGCAAAGCGTTTCACTCACGCAAAAAAAAAACCGTTCACAACTTCATTAAACTCCACCGTCACCCGATCACTCACTACGCGTCCGATCTGGCTGGGAATTTGGATCAGATTGTAACGGCTCTCGACTCGTGCGAGATGAGACTTTGGTTGCAAAAAAAAAAACACTACAATTCCAGGACACATTAGCTTTCCACTGCAGCAAACCAAAGTCACCAGTTGGCTGGTTGATTGTTTAGAAATGTGCTTGTCTTGTGTGGAGTCTGATAACCCGCGCGCGTTTTGCTTACTTGCGTCTTGCGGAATATGAGCTGGGCTCGCAACTGCCCTCCACACTACTGCGTCGACGCAGCCGGTCGGAAGGGGAGGACCACGAAAGAGTTTACGACGTCGTCAGCGATACAACAATAAATATATTTTTCATCCGTCCCGAGCCGTCACTGATAACGCACTGCACATCAGCAGCAGCCAGCCCGGAGTTAATAAGAGAGCGGGTTAGTTCGTCTTCTTCAGTCAGTTGTGATCTGGCTGTCTTTCCAGTTGGAGGCAGCTACCGGGAAGCAGCAAACTATTGAGTCCGATTAGGGGTGTAATCTGAAAATGTGTGCAAACGAAGAAACCACATTGTTACTAGCTGAGTTAATTCCTGTCTAGATTGGGATTTCCAAAATGTTAATTATTTTTGTTTGAGTGGATTTAATCTGCTGTCTTGTGGTTGTGGGAATCATGCGTAGTTAGTCATGTTGTTTTGGTCCAACCAGATATTGAGTGGGCCAGAAAGTTTTCTTTGAGTTGATTCATACCTTGATTATGTCCTCGAAATGCGCTGTAAAAGATTGGTGGATGTTATAAATTGGCTGGATGATTCACGTGCAACCTACCAGCCAGTGGTGCCACATTTTTTCTAATTTAAATCTGTATCTTCACCGATTTTTTTTTTAATCTGTTTCTGGCTGACAAAAATCTATATAAATTCTGTATTATATGATCTTAGCGCGGATCTACGAAAATCTCCCTTGAGTGCTTTCAAAGTTCATAAATAGTTTATTCAAAGTTTAAAATCTTGAAAAGTGAAGTTTGCCTTCTAAATAGTTTATCTATTCAAAAGATTTCGAAATCCTAGAACCTTAATTTTCTTAGTGATTTCTATATTTTGTACAAGTCTGAAATTATAAAAAATCAAGTCCCAGTACCGAGAGACAAACCTACTTCCGGCTGGAGATTTCTTTAAAAAAGAAACAATCTTTATCTGGTTATTTGTTTTTATTCAAACTCGTGATTCTTCATTAACTCTCTATGTTTGATCTTTCATTTTCTCAAATTCTTCTAATCGAACAAGATTTTAACTTTATTTAAGCGTTTGGCAGATCAAACAGATATTGAATTCGCTTGTTTTTGCTCGATGTAAATGCAAATGTACTCAGTATTTGATGTCAGTAAATACCTGTAACACACTTTGGGAAAGTTCCATCTGTATTTCTCAATTTGTACTCTCTGTTTTGACAATGGTATAGCGTTTTGTCACAACACAAAACTTTGATTTGGATGTTTAGGAATGTCAAAATATTCAGCTAGCACTTCGAATCGCCAACTGTAATCAATCAGTTTGCGGGTTGCTAAAATGGCTTGTTCACCGATTCGACAAAACCAAAAATTTAATTGGTTAATGGTTAACTAAACAATCAGAAAACGAAACTAATGTTACTTCGAAAGACAATTCAGAAATCAGAACATCTGAACATCAGAAATTCTTTCAAAATTATCGAAGATAAAATAATATTATTTTATTTAGTGAACAATGGGGTTTGGGTTTGCTGCTAAAGGGCGAACACGAAATTATTGCGTCACCGAAAATGTCATGCCAATTTTCTTATAATGTTTAGAATCAAATCAAAATTTTAGGGTAGTTTTATAAATATATTTACTTCAAAAATCAAAAGAAAAGTTAATCGATGGAGCCTTGAGTGTAAAATTGAACGCATTTTTGCTTGATGCCCTCGATCAAAGTCTTTACAGTGTCATCCGGTACCAGTTTCTCAGTTTTTTTTTCCATTTTCTTAACATGTCCTTCTCGTCTTTGACTGTCTTCTTGCTCTTCCGAAGTTCCCGCTTCATTATTGCCCAGTACTGCTCCACCGGGCGCAGCTCCGGACAGTTTGGCGGATTCATGTCCTTTGGAACAAAATGGACAGAATTGGCCTCATACCACTTCAGGACACTTTTAGAATAGTGGCATGATGCCAAATCTGGCCAAAATAGCGGAGCTTCGTCGTGCTGCTGCAAGAACGGCAAAAGGCGCTTCTCGAGGCACTCAGATTTGTAGATCTCGCCATTTACTGTGCCCTTTGTCACGAAAGGCTCACTCCTCAGTCCGCAAGAGCAGATGGCCTGCCAAATGAGATATTTGGAGGCGAAATTTGACATTTTCTTCTTCTTAAATTTGTCGTCCACATCGAACTTGCTCTTGCCGGTGAAAAACTCCAACCCCGGAATTTGCTTAAAATCGGCTTTTATATACGTTTCGTCGTCCATCACACAGCAGCCATATTTTGTCAGCATCTTCTCGTAGAGCTTCCGTGCCCGAGTTTTAGCCGTCGATTGTTGCCGCTCATCGCGGTTTGGGAAGTTCAGTACCTTGTATGTATGCAGTCCAGCTCTCTTCTTTGCATTCTGGACGTAGCTCTGCGACATGCCGATCTTTTTAGCCAAATCACGGCTTGAGACGTTGGGATTTGCTTTAATCATCCGCTTCACCTTTCCCTCCGTCTTTTTGTTCTCCGGTCCCGGTTTTCTTCCAGCTCCTTTGCCGTGGTCCAACGTCAACCGCTCCTGGAACCGCTTCAACACTCTGGAGACGGTTGAATGGTGAATGTTCAACATTTTTCCCAACTGCCGGTGCGACAGGTCAGGAAATTCCAGGTGTTTGGAAAGAATTTGTTCTCTCAACTCGCGTTGGTTCACCTCCATTTTCGTTGAATCGAAAAACACGACTTCGAGTTTGACAGCATGTACACAATACACATCAATGAGAAAGTGTGCAAAATTTGGTTGATTTTTACCCAATGGTAAAAAAGTTATGCCCTGTTGAATGTGTCGCAATAATTTCGTGTTCGCCCTTTAGACGAGTGAATTCAAGCTGCTCAAAAGGAAGAAACGATAATTTATGAAAAATATTTTCCACCTATTTGAAAAATCTATATATTTTGGAGAAAAAAAAGTAATCTGTACATATCTGTATCCAAATATTGAGAAAAATCTGTATGATAACAAATTAAACTGTATATGTGGCATCACTGCTAATAGCAGTAGTACTGAATCTATGCAGACGTTGATTGTTCCTGAACGCAGGTAGTGGTTCAATCACTGAATCTGAATTTGTGATAAAATATTTCGAACATGTCACTGCACTGCTTCCAGATGTTCGCTTGCTCACCTTTTTTATTTGTTTTCTCTTTATTTACAAGATTTTCAGCGAACGGCTTTTCTCGCCTTGGACCATTTTAAATTAGTTATGCTTGATAGAACATTCTTCTCATTCCAATAACTGTTATTTGGCTATATAACATCTAAACGTAGCCCAAGAAGCATTCCATATTTTATCGAGGTTTTAAAGCATTAACAAAGGCCAAATCATGATAAAACCAATTGGGGGCCATGCATTAACTAAGATTTACCCCCTAGCATCACGTTTTTCCTATACCCAATGCATTGCTTGTCACAAAATCTTACAGCCCTCCCCTACCCATTTAGAGCGTGACATGTTTTCAGCTAAGTTGTAGCTTTCACATAAGAACAGATAGCAAGCTTACCCGTAAATCATGATACACATCCCACAATGCAGTGATGCATGCTTTATTCATAATTTATGAAAAATACTTCACCTCCACAATTCTGTAAATTGCTTCCATCTCAAAAGTAACCGCATCTATTGCTTTCACAAAACTGGAAATCTCATTCCAGATGAGTCTTACGCTCTTATTGAGGATATGTTATTCTATGTTCAGCTACAGAGTTATAACATGTTACAGTCATTTCTCCATATCTCGATATTGAAGGGACCATCGAGATATGGAGAAATCGAAATATAGAACATGCAAAGTCTACTAAACTATTTGAAGATACTGAGATAACCATCGATATAAATAAAAAAGAGGTCACATATCAAGATTTACAGTATATCTCAAAATTAAACGTAAAGCAGTACTTAAATTTTAGTAAAACGGCTCTCAAAGCACAAGCTAAAAAGATACGTCTCTGATTTCTTGCAGCTGACTCAGTATACATTTATCAATTATTGGCTCAGTATTGGGCAAATTTGGTAGAGTTTACAAAAAGTTAGAGCAATTTAAGGAAAACGCCTTTTTCTAGAAAAACTTTATTTTCTTGAAATAAAATGAACACAAATTCTTGAAATTTTGCTCATTTTTAATCGTATCAAAGATCATTTTACTAAAATTCGTCCACTAGATAAAAAGTTGAAAATCGAGCGTTTTACTAAAATAAATCTAACTTCATACAGGTTATTCCAATAAAGTCCAAAACTTAAACGATAAATCAATAAACATCTTTTCAATCTTTTTAACATTTAAAAAAATATGTCTATTCAGAATGTTTCAAAAAATGTTCCAACTGATATAACAATTTTTTTCTTCAAATGTGATGCCAAGAGGATCAACAGAATTATAGAAAGCGGAACACGCAGCAAAAAAGTGTTGTGCAATTTCATCGTTTAGATGCAAACTTTTTGACAATATGTAAATTAACAGGAGAAAACATGTAATCCTACATAATTTAACATGGAAATTTACATTTTGCACATGGTAAATGTACATGTTTGAAGCATTTACATACTAAAAGCTGTAAAATTACATGTACAATAAAATGTTCATTTTTTTTCTTTTGTAACAGATTATGTCACATGTAATTTTAATTATTTTATAGTGTGCAGTCCAACCAAAGTTCCATGATCGATAATGGCGGTTTACAAAAACTAAAACTGAGCTAGAAAGTTATGATCTTGAGCAGTGTTGTTATATTAATGCCCTCTATAATTTTGCTTAACGCTACAAGCCTCTAAAGGGTGTCCACGATGAAATTGCCACACACAAAATTGATTCGCAAAATTCGAGTTTTCATCCGATTGCCATCAAATTTTCAGGGATTGAGAAATAACTATTAAACTTAATTTTACCATTTTACTCGTATTTTATTTACAGTCCATACGCAAATGCCCGCACCTTGGCCTTAACCCCGGCCATAAGATTCTGCACAACCTGTGAATCAACCGTTTTTTGCATGTAAACCCATACTTTCTTCAGTTCCTCGACTGTCTTCACTACCTTAGGTCGTTTAAGAAGGTGCTGCTTCATAATAGCCCAGTACTTCTCGATGGGGCGGAGCTCCGGAGTGTTGGGAGGGTTGAACATTTTCGGCACGAAATTGTCGAAATTGTGAAATTGTGAAATTGTGGTAATTGTCCGCATACCACTTCAGCACGTCCTTGGAGTAGTGGCATGAGGCCAAATCCGGCCAGAAGATTGTTGGGACGTTGTGGGCCTTCAGGAGAGGATGCAGCCGCTTCTGGAGGCACTCTT